TATATATAGTGGTATTAACTGCTCTTCCTTGTAGACATATGGATATTATGCTATCATAGTGTTAAACTTCAAGACTGATTTTGGTATGTTCTTTTTGGTGATGAATGCCAAGCCATTCCTCTTTAATTTGCCTTTTCCAGCATAAATCATGTGATTGTCAAATTCAAAATGGCTAATACCAATCCAATTTAGCTCCCTAATGTCCAGGATATCGATGTTCGTGCATTCCATTTTACTTTTGACAATTTCAGTCTTCCTAAATTCATATGTCTTACATTCCATGTTCTGAGTACATTTGCAGCTGTTTCTCTTCATTTTGAGTTGTGCCCCATCAGCAAATGAAGGTCCTGAGGCTTTACTCCACTCATGTCATCATGGTCCACTCTATCTTGAGGAGGCAGCTTTCCCTGTGACATCTTCAGTGCCTTCCAACCTGAGGGGCTCACCTTCCAGCACTATATCTGACAATATTCTGGTGCTATTAATCATGTTTCAATATTCAATGTTGTATATTGGTGCTGTCAGTGTCCCACTGTTATTCATAAGGTATTCAGTAACTAAATATTCAGAGCTAGTCTGTCTCTCTTTCTTCCTAGTCTGTCTTCATCTGGAAGCTCAGCTGAAACCTGTCCTCTGTGGTTGACTCTGCATGTATTTAAAATACTCAAGCCTTAGCTTCCAGAATCACAGAAACATACAAACCACCTCAGTATGACAACCTGATAGACGAGTGGTGGGAAGAAGTCATTAGTAGTACAAATTCTATGAGGCACTCAACAGTATCATTTCTATTCCCAAGGCATATTTTCTAGCTACTGATCCTTCCTCTTTGTTTCCAATCTTTGCATTTCAAACCCCATTAATTATCAATACATCTTGATTGTATATTTGTTCAGTTTCAGACTGGAAATCATGGTAGAGTTCTTCAATTTCATCACACAGCCTTCAGTGGTTGGTGCATCAATTTAAATAATTGTATTAACTTGTCTTCTTTTTAGGCATATGGATAGTGTCCTATCATAGACAGTGTTTGGACTTCAAGACAGATCTTGAAATGTTCCTTTTGATGATGAATGCAAAACAATTCTTCTTCAATTTGTCTTTCCCAGCAAAGTAGACAACATGATTGTCAGATTCAAAATGACCAATACCAATCCATTTTAACTAATTAGTGCCTAGGATATTGATGTTTATGTGTTCCATTACACTTTTGACAATTTCCACTTTTCCTAGATTTATACTTCATACATTTCATGTTCTGATTATTAGTGGATGTTTACAGCTCTTTCTCTTCATTTTAAGTTGTGCCCTATCACCAAATCGAGGTCCCAAAATCTTTACTCCATTTGTGTCATCACAGTCAACTCTCCATTGAGGATTTGATTGTTGTAGAAACTTCCCCCAGTCATAATTTGAGTGCCTTTCAAACTGAGGGGCTCATCTTCCAACACCTGAGCATCCTCAAAACTGTTGCTTTCACCTTTGCTTTTCACCGATCACTTTTCTTTGACTAGATCAAAACAATGGTGGCAGTACTTTGACTGTCCCCAGGATCTTATTGGTAAAGTCATCTCCTTTCACAGTTCTTCCAGAAATGTTTCAGGTTCTTGATCCCACTTGTTTGAAATTCCCAGTGAAACTTCTGCTCTTGTCTGCTGTTGATCTGGGCATAATAGTTTGTGAACTCATTGAGTGTACAGTTTGATCAACTTTAACTTCCAGTCAAAGTATATAAACTGAATCAAATGACATGTATATGGTGCTGGCTATTGTTTCTGTTGTTAATCTTTCTTAAGTCTTCTTCAATTAGGGCACAAACAAGATGAATTTTCCCTCAAAGATTAATGTGGATGATCTTCTACTGACGGCTTTATTATCTTCTGCATCATCTCATTCTTTCTTAAATGAGTTATCCATTTATAAACTTCTGTTATCCTTGAGGCTTTGCCTCCATACGCTTCTCATAAAGTTTCAAGGATTTCTCCATTCTTCTACTCAAGCTTCACCATACATTTAATGTTTATTCTTACATCAAATAAGCAGAATTCATGTTGCTCTGACATCGTCTCTTGTCAAACCAATATATTCTTCTTAGATTCCTGGTATGGCACTATGGGATAATGCACTTGACTGCCAAATTGGTTTGAACTGCAAGGTTGGAGGTTCATACTCACCAGCCACTCCTCACAGGGTCACTATAAGTCAGGACCAATTTGGTGACACTTAACAACAAAGATCTTCAAACCAGATGCTATTCAGCATGTTATAAAAGGTTAGTAAAAGTTTACATTGGTGCCAAAATAATTGAAATGCATAGCTTGATTGTTTCATAATATGAATTTTCCATGAATGTTTGCAATATCATTCATGTTTTCCTATAGGGACAGAACAGGTGATTGCAGTTTAAGTAAATAGTATGATATTTCTTTCTTTTATAAAATAATGATGTGATTATTGTAGAAACTTGACTTAAAAGGTACACATATTAAAGAAAGGAAATCATCAGAATTAAACCACAAAGGTATTTGTTATTTACATTTTTTGGACAGAATAAGATAGCACTCCTCATGGAAACAGGAATGGTTATATGTTGTTCTGTTGTGTTTTGAATGGAACCTCACAGTATATTACAAAAATGTACCATGTCACTGAGTGTACTGTATGGCATAAATTCAAAGAGATATGACAACAAGAGTTATGGTTAAGTAGTAACAAAACAAGGCAGAGAAGGTGACTTCCAGGCCCACAGAGCAAGCAAAGCTGAGTGCCTTCAGGAAACTCACTTAATAAAAATTAGATTTGCTGACCCACAGAGCTATAGCCAAGCGTTTTCTGGGCAAAGTTTATGGCAGAATGGTATGCCCTTTGGGCACTTATCAGCAGCACTAAAAGAGCTTTGCAATATTCATCAGTAGGGGCCAAATGTCTGAGAGTCCCAGGATCAAAAGAGGTATGCCTACAGGTGCTTCTGACAAAAAACTGTATTCAGAGCATTTCTAATTCTGAACTGTAACCCTAATAAATTCTATAATTTTGAGGATGGGCTGTAAATTCTGTGACCATTGGAACTAATGGTCATGACAGTTGATTACTAAACCCAGAAAAGATATAGCAAGATCTCTGGGATGGGTGGTTGGTGTCAGAACTGGTAAATAAATAGACAATGGAGGCATATCTAACTTCTACCTTCTAGAAAGCAGTCTTGGGTTGACACTGAGTTTGCTTCTCTTTTCCCTTTGTAAAGTCTGAGTTCAGACACTGCCCCCCACCTTCATTACAGCATTTTACAGAATTCTCTACATTTCTGACATAGGTGACCAACATATTTTTAAATGATAGCAAAACATCATCTTCAAGAGGATCTGTGAGTTTGCATTTGTTACTAACCTTCTCTCCTGCTTGACCAGAAGGACCAGGGTCTCCAGTTGGACCTGCTCGACCTTTGGGACCTTCAGGACCATCTTCTCCCCTCGGACCTAATTGACCAACTTCTCCCTGAAACACAGAATAACAGTATTCTTATAGTTTATAACTTATTTAGAGATTGAATGTCAGAAATTACAGTTTATCACAAAGTCATATTCTTCAACTTTTGGGTTATTTAGACATTTTTCTTTATGACAAAGACTTAGAACTCAGTTCATCAATCATTTCATTACTGACTAAACAACTGAATACAGTCTGACATTTTGAAAGCCTAAAGAAGTAAGCTGCACCATGTATAAAAATCAATTGTTTTTAATACATCTGTTATATACCAAAAAAGGAGCAAATCTACTGCTGTCAAGTCAATTCCAGCTCAGAATGACCTTACAGGAAAGAGGAGAACTGCTCCATAGGATTTCCGAGACTGTAAATCTTTTATTGGAACAGGCAGCCGGATCTTTCTCCTGTGGAGAAGTTAGGAGATTTGAACGCTGATCTTTTGGTTATCAACCCAATCTTAACCAGATGTGCCATAGAGGCAGATAAAAATAAGAATCAAGAGTAGAAAATACATTTGGAAATCAGAAACTGAGTTAAGTGTGTTTCAGAATTGCCTGGAAGTTCCTTATGAGTTTGTCTGGGCTCCACCCTTTGTTTCATTTCTTTCTTTCCTTTCTTTTTCTTTATTAAAATATGTGTTCCAGGACCCCTGTTAATGTAGTGGATTATGGGCTGCTAAGTGCAAGCTCAGTAGCACAAATCTACCAGTCACTCTGTAGAAAAAGCATGAGGTTTTCTGCTCCTGTACAGATCTATAGCATTGGAAACCCTATACAGGGTTGGAACCTACTGGTGGCACACAACCATCACCACTGATTTTATATGTATTTTAGGGAAACAGATATTCTACAATATTGTCCTTTTTCTTAGCTTTATTAGATGATATTGTGTTGTAGCACCATAGGATAAGCATTCTACCTCAAGGTCGATGTGAACTACAAGGCAGGAATTTCAAACACACCAGCTGCTCCTCAGAAACGTTATACAGAGTGCTCTCAGTTGGAATGGACTCAATGGCACTTAACGACAATTGTGTCATTTGGAGTCCTGGTGTGTCACTGTAGGTTAAGTGCTGACCACAAGGTCAGCAGTTCAAACACACCAGCTGCTCCTTGGAAAGTCTATACACAGTCACTATGAGTTGGAACCAACTTACCAGCACTTCAACAATTATGTTTTTTTAGGAAATAATTATTCTCAGTAAAAATGCATAATTGGTTTTGTTGACTCCATTTCTCTTTGTTTTCTAAACACTCTTCATCAGAAAAGAACTATGCTACCATGGTTACGAATCTGGCTGAGAACCTTAAGGTCAGCGGTTCAAAACTACCAGCCGCTCCATGGGAGAAAGATGAGGCTTTCTACTCCAGTAAAGATTTACACCCTCGGAAACCCTGTACAGGGTCGCTATGGGTCGGA